CATACTCTACGCATCGCCAATCTGGGACAGATCCAGGCGCTCCAAACATTACGAAAACATGCTAGATACATTTATTTAAAAAACCATGTTATATCCGTAACACTATTTTGAACCACCCTGTATACTCTATAATAATTTTAAAATGTGTATCTTAACTTTCTCTGCAGTTTTTCTATTTTTTTTTAATAACTCTTAAACACTTTTTAATAATTCTCTTTTATATTCCTCCCAAGGTTTTATTCATCGATTGTGAAATATCTACCCACGCATCGTGTTTATTGTTTTTTTTTAATATTCTTTATCTTTTGTATTCTTTATATTGGTTTTGCTTTATATAAATCGATGAATTTCAGCTGATCTTTTTCCGTCCAAGTCTCCATTTCAATATGCACTAATATCAGAGCTAATATCTCGCAGTCGGGCGAGCCTACCAAAGACACGTCCAGACTTGGCCGCGAGCTTTATAAATATAAAATAAAACTAAAGCAATAATTCAAAACAATTCAAACATAACCTAAAATAAAAGATCTCGCCGGCCGGCTCCGGTTGTCAAATACCCAAACATACCCATTTAAGCATGCCCATTTAAACGTTATCAGAGGTTATTTAGAAAGAGCGCTTGGTGTAATTGATCCGCAAATTACGTCAGGCGGTAACGTTATTAGCGGGTGTTGCGTTGACTCGCGCATATCGTAACCATGATAAGGTACGCGTAAATACTGGATGACGCTATTCGGTTTTCCGATATCTCTCTAATAACTGTGCCGGTCAGGCGCTGTGCACAATTTTGGAGGCCATAAGTGGGCGTGCTATGTGCGCAAACTAGTCACCTAACTAGTGCCCGATTCCGAAAATTGGAACAACGAAAAACAATAAAGAAAAAACAAAGATTATAATCTGTGGCTCTTGCGAGACCCCTCCACCCTTTGAAAAACACCGCAAATTTGGAATGTCTCGCGCTCGTCTCGCACTCGACTCCTCAGGTCTGGACCATAGACAAACTAACAAAAGCAAGACGCGTCAACGCTGTACTGCAAAACGGTAACAAGTTTGATAAGAGTTTATTACCGCGCTTGCGTCAACTGGCCTTTTAGACGAGGACGGTTTACTTATGGATTGTGTATTTTGTAGTAGCCTTTTAGACAAGGATGTTTAATTAAAAAGCGTTTATTAAAATCAAATAAATTTATTTCCATCGGTAAAATAAACAATAATTTCTGGACATAACAGATATAAAAACAAAAGTTAAATAAACGAAAACGTATTTCTCTTATTAAAATAACAAAAAAGATGATAAAAAAAACAGTTATGGTAAACGAAATAAAAGCATTATTCTTCAAAAGGTACAAAAAAATAATTATGTATATTATAATATTAATAATAGGAACAACAAGAAACATCTTAAAAATATAAAACTTTTTCAAATATAAAACAAAAACATAAACTTCACATTTTCACAAGAATTTGCAAAAATATTAACATTTCGAGTCTATTATAAAATATAAAGCACGAAAATTCAAATCATAAAAAGATTAAAAAGATAAAGATTCTTATAACTTACAGTCAATTTGTAGGACCTTCGTTTTGTCTACGTTAGCGATGTAATCACAATAATATGTAAATCACAGTAATTATTATGTTCTTCATAAATGTAAAATGTATTAAATTATTTGTTTTCGTTTTGTACGCTAATAAAATAATAGTAATAACCAAACAAAACGCAAAATCAGGAATTCAACAGTTCGTTCAAGGATGGTTCAAGGCAAAAACGTTTTTCGTTTTATTTAGGTTAGGTTTGACGAGTGCGACTGCTACTGACTCAACTGGCCAGCGCAAAAACAATAATTCGACTTCCTCAATCCTTTGAAAAGTCTTGCTTTTGTTAGTTTGTCTATGGTCTGGACGCACCATAACAGACAAAAAGTATCTGGTCGATTAGTAACCAATTGGCACAGTCCGAAAATTATCGATTTTTATTTTCTCTGTTTTTATTGGTAGCTTCCAAATTCAGAGTAACAAAAAGTAATTTTCTGTAGGGAACCCGGTCCTGCCATCTAGTAGTCTTAGTCCATAAACTTCTTAGGTTGATCTACTTTAAAAATATATATACAAGGGTTCGGGGTTCGGGTTATTTCTTGAACCGTCCTAGAACGGTGATACGCATGCGCAGAAGAAAATTTGCGTTCGGGTTCGATGAGAACTGTTTTTGAACCTTTTTTGGATTCTCAATTAGATCAAGTTAGATGTTCGGGTTATAACGCGGATGGTTCTAGGACTAGAAAAAAACAGTCCAAATTTGATCCTAGCTTGGCAGCAAGAATCGTTTTTGGACCATTTTTGTACTTTTCTAACCTAAAAAGCCCGGGCCCCCCCTAAAGTCTGTGAATTGTGTAAAATTTTTTACAATTAGTACATCTGCTGGACCTGTGTCTCTGAAAGGAATGCGGACAAAAAACATTTAAATAAACAGCAATATATTTTATACGTCGACTTGACGAGTACGTCACCGCAAATCGCTCCGCCCACTCATTTTATTGTCTACTTGCAAATTTGTCGAATTTTTATTGATGGGACGCGTCGTCCCAATTTTTTACGAAAAACATGGAGAGAATATCGTTTCCCCTCTCACGGATACCCCGGAGCTACAGAACGGACAAACGTACTGTACATACATATTAAAATTTTATTTTTGTCATGACTAGTAGCACTTTGATTAAAACTGAAAAATAGGTACCTCATCTACAAATTAGTATTGTAATAATACTTATTGTTCGATTGAAAAATGTGCCTGAACTACCCTTACGAAACTAGCTTAACCAAGAAGAGCTAAATTATTTTATTATTATTATAAGTAATATTTCTGAAAATTATCTTGTAGAGAGGTAGATAAATTACAATTTTAGATATATTTACCATAGTAATGTATGTAGTATGTATATATTTATTTATTTCATATTTATCATTCTAAGAATTCGTGAGGGTTAGAAATGTAACAATCTAAGATTCTTGAGGGTTAGAAATGTAACAAAATAAAAATAGTTTTAACACAAAAGTGATAATTTTTATTAACTAAATTAATAAACAGTTATGACCATAATGAATTTTTTGTAGTTATCTAGCATATCACTTGACTATTTTTCTATTACTAGAATGCATTCAATATTAGGCTTCTTATGTTAATTATAGAATAACGAGGCAAAATTCATCTGTTCTAAAATTATCTCCTGTAAAACTTTCTTCATAATTTTGGTTTCTATTTTCTGTTCAAGGTTGTCTGTACTGCAAAACTATATATTCTATTAAACATTTATCATTTTCCACTGATTCCACAATTAGTATTTGATTAATGCAAACCATTTGTTTTTATTATTCCATTATTCTTTAAATATCCTTCGGCAATTATTGGCATATCTAAAAAGAAAGCAAACAAACATGGTTAGCCTACCTAATATGTTTTCTTTCCTTTGTAAGGCTTTATTTTGAAATAGCTATGTACTTAAATTTATTATACGTAATCAAATAAATTATTTAGATATAACATATATAAATTAAAACTTTTTTTTAATATTGCATTAACTACCTACTTATACTAATTACGTATCCTATGTATGTGTGTTATATTTTACATAAATATGTATAAATTTAAATATTAAAGGCAGATAATTTTTTGGCAATCAATTTTGATTATAATGTTGTGGTAATTAGAAAATAGACAGTTAGCTATATTATTAGAAAGAGAAGCAAACCACTTATATCAAGGATAAATGACAGTTTTTTATGTACGTACCTGATATATTTCGAGAACATTCCAATATACTCCTCTTAGGTATAAATTATTAAAATTCTGTTCCTTTATATTTAGTCAGATATCACAATCTACAAAAATCCCAATTATATATTGTACATATCCTGTTACGGTTGTAATTTTAACTTACCTACTTTCAAATGATACAAATGCTGTCCTAAACACTATCTTAAATGCTTTCTCATATCATTATTTCTGTGAAAATAAATAGTATAATCCTCCAGGTATTGAACATTAACTAAATTTTGATCATATTATAACGAAATAAAGCTAGGGTATATTTGAATTTCTTGAACTGCCATAATATGTCTCTTAAAATTACCCTGAAAAGGAAATAATTTCTGGCGGTCAATGCAATAGAAATTCACAACTAAATCTTATTTTTTTAACTGCTCTGTAATCTTCCATTTTTGGGGTGCTCAACTGTTGCTTTTTGTAATAAACAAACAAATTTTAAGGACATCTCTCACATTTCAATAGTGAGGTTAAGTCGCTTCTGTCACTTTCGTCCAAAAATAGTTCGCAAAGCGTTCGGGTTTCATCATGTAGTTCATATTATAGTCCTCAAAAGATCCAAAAACAGTTCTAGAATTCAAACCACTGCGCAGTGCGAGAACGATTCTAGGACAGTTCTCAAAAACGAACCCGAATAAAGCTATAGTTTGTCCAACGTGAAGTTATATGTATGTATAATACCAGTGACAGGTATCATTTTAATTCAATCAATAATCTATCATTTTAATTCCAAGAAAAATTGTATTTTCTGTCATTTGTTGGATGTCATCTGTCCAACATTTTCCCTGACTCGTTGGACAGACTATATCACTTATTAGATGAAGAAATGTAAAATAATGGTAAGAGTAGGATTTAGTCAACCATAAACGGACCATAATGAATAAAATTTACACTTAGCACCAGCATCACATTTTCAATGTATAGGTATTATTCCTGCTTGTACTATAACAGTTTTAACAATTACAACATATTTTTTTAATATGCGTTTTTTTTTATTATGCGTCACAAAATAGAGTAGCTCAAATTATTATTTTCTTTAATCTCACTCTTTTTAGTTAACAGCAGTTTCAATACTAATTAATAGTATCAGATAGTTTAGTGAGGTAAGGGTTTTTAGAAACCCAGGCACTACCTACTTTTAAAAATATTAAAGAAAAAGCAATTGCAAAACAGCTCGTACCTTTGTTGGCGAGACGGGCACTCGGAGAATCCTTAGACGATCCTGCTGAATAATCTAAAAATTACAGACAACGTAACAATATATTTAATTATAAAAATATAAAATACATACCTGCTCCGGCCATTTTAGTCCAGAACCTCTAACAGACCATATACACGTGACAAATTAATATTTTGAAAGCGGCTTTAGGCTTTAAACTTTCACAACAACAAGAATTGAATATTATGAAAGTAAAAAAAAATGTAAATATTCAACTAGGCATTAACAAAATTGTGTTAAATAGTACGTTTCGTATATTTACTCCATTTGTTTTTCTTTTTGGTAAATTTTTGCCATACCAACCTACGAAAACGATAATCTTAAAAATCACTAGAAGTAGAGGTTGATTTAAATTTTCAAATTATTTTGTATCTTCTTGAAAATGTGGTTTTGAAACGAGGAATAATAAAGTTTCTGATTAACATTTATTTTAGATTTAATTATTTCTTGTACGTATAATTACTGTTGTAGTGTTTGTAAAGGGTAGTTAAAAATAAATCAAAATATTACGGCTAAGAAATCTAAGTAATATGTCATCTTTCATAATTTTATAGATCCATCCCATACACAGCAGCCAAAGTTAATAGTGTACTTGGGCAAAGACTGTCGCCAAAGATATCCGAGTATACTACACGAAGTACCAGAGTAGTTTCCAGGCTAGTTTCCGTTTTAAAAAACAATACTAAAATAGACTAAGTAGATACTAAAAAGGTACAAAGATTAAAATAGGTACAATATGATAGAAAAAACTCAGTCAGTGACAGCTATGAAATGAAGATCGCTCATTTTCATAGATAAGAGAAGTAAAACTAGTAAAACTCATTTTATATTATGGGGAATGTCATTGATGTTCATTTCCAGGCCAACTGGATGCCGTTTTTTTTTCGATCATACGGTACAATGTTAATAAAGTGAATAAATAACTATATTGTAAGAAAGAAGTGAAATACCGTATGATCGAAAAAAATACGGCATCCAGTTGGCTGGGAAATGACGATCGATGACATTTCCCATATAATTTTACATATAAAATGACAGCTAGCGATCTTCATTTCATAGCCATCACTGACGCCGTTTTTTTTTCGATCATACCAAATCATAGGGTACTTTGGTTTTGTATTAGGCAAGATAAGCAGCTGCCTAGGGCAGTAGACTGATGGGGGCGGCATTTTTTCGCGGCAACTTTCGCAACTCTGAAAACAATGTTCAACAAAACATATACTGTCACAATATTATATTAGTTTTGAATTATTAAAATCAAATATTAAATATTTTTCAATAGCATCAATTAGGGAACATATAGATTTTTGTAAGAAAAAAAGATTCGAACTATGACAAAGAAAAACCAAGGAAAAAAAAAAGAAATAATTCCCCTTCGGGAATATATTTTATAATTTTTAGTTTAACATTATTATTATATTTTTATTGTCACTAATTAGCGTTGTGAAAGACAAAAAATGTTCAGAATTTGATTTGATATCCCCTATAACCCCTATAACTTTTTTTATTTTATCAGATAAAAAAACAAGATTTGGTATGGAAGTATATGAGATAAATTAGGTTTGATGAACGTATTCAATTCTTTTCGGCCACTTCCTGTTTCACTGGAAATGACTACAACTTTTGATTTTTAAATGGCACCCTCGGTATTTTTTTACTTTATTCGATAGAAAATGACATTCTGAATAGAATGACATATCATATGTCAACTTTTGAAGTTTTTACTTAAAACAAAATTGAATTTTAAAATTCAATCTAGAGTGTCATCGCTGTGTCAAAAATACTAATTTTTAATCAAGCAGCCTTGGAAAAATATATTTTATTTGATCGTGTAATGTTATTCGTCTTGCCCTGGCCGGTTAAACGATGCCCAAATCGTTAATGGCTCATTAACATATTTGGAAAAAGTATCTTTTTGCGAATAATTTGGTACCACACACTTTTGGTATTTCGAGTCAAATTGTCGTTATGAATCGCATGTTTTAATTTCAAACAAACCATATTCATCATTTTCTATCGAATAGAGCAACAAAACACCGAGAGTACCATTTAAAAATCAAAAGTTATAGTCATTTCCGGTGAAACAGGAAGTGGCAGAAAACAATTGAATGCGTCAATCAATCCTAATTTATGTCATATATTAAATTAATATAGCAAATCTCGATTTTTAACTCGAGAAAATAAAAAAGTTACAGGGGTGAGCCACTTTTGAGACGCACCCGGTACAGACTTAAAAAAAATGACATTTTGTATTAATTTACGAAAATAAAATTAAACTAATGAATCGATTTTTTCCATATAAATGACACCAGCGAATCCAATAAATAATTATATTCCAGTGCAGTAATATTACTTTACTGTCCCGCAATAAATTTAAGAATATATATGAATTTTTAGTTTCAAAGTTATTAAAGCACTGTAAGAAAATACATCTGGTGGATATTTGAATAAAGGGGGCTTTTTGAATTTGCATGAGTTATTCCATGACATGTCAATTTTTTTAAAAAAGCATCATTTTTTTTAAACTCTATGAAATATTTCCATTTGTTGACAATATTAGATATAACAACTTTTACTTGAATTTTTATTAGTTGAAGGGGCGGAAAAATAAATGGTGCCTAGAGTACCAAATCAACCTAACGCGGCCCTGCACAGTGGTTCCCAGATATGTCATTACTTAGAAATATTAATTTCAAAATGTTTGCATGAAACTGTTGCTAATACTTTTCTTATATTCCCCTATAAACGATACATAATAAATAACAAAATCAAGTAAGCCTAGTGTAGCGCTTTTTTTATTAGAAATGTCACATTTTTGCTACTGGTATCAAGCTGACATAAACAGTTTTCAGATAGGTAACGCCAATTAATTACTTATTTTATTAAAATTGATAAAAGCTTTTGCCTTTTCTGTAATGGACGTTCGAAAAGAAGGTAAAAAGAACTGTTTTTTTTTCTTTTTTGCACTTAATTAAACCTAAGTACCTATATTAGTTTATGGCAATTTATTTCAAGGCAACAAAAATAGTATTTTTACATTTTTGCTTATTACTCTTTAAGACTTTTAACCACTTTCCCTTTCTAATCCTCTTAAACGGCATGATAATACTTGTTGCTTAAAGTATATTGCATATAATTTAATTGCCACTGGCTGCCGCGAATTGCCGCCGGATCTTATACCGGGTAGTTTTTGTCTTAAAATAAAAGTAACTTATTTTTTCCTCGTCGTGTCAACTTATTTCGTGGATACACTGTATATCAATTGACAATAAAATTGTATTTATAAAATGAAACAGCTGTCTCTTTTATTTTTTCAACATTTAAAATAAATTTGACCTCTTCAATATGAAAAAACATGTACATATGTGCAAACATAATCCGTATACCTTTCCGAATAGTTAGAACTTAAAATGCAAATCACACGAACTGGGTCCAATTTTTTTAATACATATTACATTAAGTTTTTTATACGGGGTGTTTCAAAACAAATGCGAAAAACTTCAGGGGGTGATTCCTTGTTCAAAATAAAGGGTAGTTTGCTTCATAAACGTTGGGTCAAAAGTCAACCATTAGGGAGATATCGCGGTACAAAAATGGCGGAAAAATAATGTTCTTATTTTTTCTCTTGAAAACGAAAAGAGATAGACTAATGAAATTTTATGGAAGCATTACTGTTATGAAAACACACTTTCTGGTAATTTTTTCACTTTTTTAAAATGAGTGGAAGGGGTTGAAATAAACTATCCCTATCATTCTTGTTAACGAAATTTAAAGAAAAATCTTATCAAACACATGCAAAAAAATTAATTTGGATAGTTTAGTTTGTTTAGAAACTTTTTTATCTCTTGTATTTTTTTTTTATAAAACTCACCGATTTGAAATTAAAAAATAAAATGTAAAGCATTACATGTCAGGACTAAAAATATTTTTAGATTAAGAATCTAGTGATAATAATGATAATAATAATAATCTAGAAATAACGTATTGCAGTAGGGTAATGTCAAATAAAACAATATTAGAAACATCCTAAAAGTGACAGCGGCCGACTAGATTTTTTCCTAAAAAAATTACAGCTGTCCACTAGATTCTTTATCTAAAAATGTTTTTTGTCCTGACATGTAATGCTTTACATTTTATTTTTTAATTTCAAATCGGTGAGTTTTATCAAAAAAATACAAGAGATAAAAAAGTTTCTAAATAAACTAAACTATCAAAATTAATTTTTTTTGCAAGTGTTTGATAAGATTTTTCTTTAAATTTCATTAACAAGAATGATAGGGGTAGTTTATTTCAACCCCTTCCACTCATTTTAAAAAAGTGAAAAAATTACCAGAAAGTGTGTTTTCATAACAGTAATGCTTCCGTAAAATTTCATTAGTCTATCTCTTTTCGTTTTCAAGATAAAAAATAAAAACATTGTTTCCGCCATCTTTGTACCGCGATATCTCCCTAATGGTTGACTTTTGACCCAACGTTTATAAAGCAAACTACCCTTTATTTTGAACAAGGAATCACCCCCTGAAGTTTTTCGCATTTGTTTTGAAACACCCTGTATACATTTATTTAACATTTGTTATCAATTTCTATTAAAAATTAGTTATGACCGCGCAGCTAATTGAAGGGAACCGCTGTGCCCTGGCTTAAATTATAACTGTAATTAATTTATAATAATGAAGTATTATCCCTATAACGTTTGCAGCTTTATTTCTATTAAACATAATTATTAAATAAATGTAATATTGATATTTTAGTTCAAAATCTAAAGTTTTCTGCCCGAAGGACTACTAAGGTCAGTGCTAAACGAAATAAAATAATTATTCAACATTAACATTAAAAATATATTTTGCATTACAGAAAACATTTGGTTTTCAAAAAAAAGTATAACACACTAATACTAAATATATCCTAGAGTAAAAGATAAATGCATTTTGTAATTATTCGTATTTAAAGGTATTCAACAAATAACATAATAAACATAAATATAACACAACATAGGTATTAATTTTTAATTAGTCAGAAATAATCAATAGGATAATTTAAATTCTTAAGATTGATATATCATATCTCAACAAATAAATCTAAAATTTACAAATATTAAATTACTTAAAACACAAATATTTTAATTGTTAAATAAATTAGAAAATAAAGAATATCATCGCATCGCTAGTCAGTAGTCTAATATGTACAAATATGTTGTAACAATTAAATTACAAATTTTATGTAAAACGCATAAAACTACACATTTTTTCATTATAAATATATAATAACAAGATCCCGCCCACACATAAAAAACAAAAAGTCTCTAGACCAAGACATATTTAAAATTCGTCTGATTTAAAAAAGGACTGTTACTATAATAATTAACCCATTTATATAAAAACTATTTATATTTTAATTACAATTAATATACACAAGGACAAAAAGCAATAACTATTAGAAAGTTTATCAAATACTATGTGTCACAATACAGGATTTTCTTCAACGACTAACTGAAATGGAGCTCGGCACATGGGACACTCCGTTAACAAGCTGGCACAAGACGCGCAAAATCCTCTGTAAATTGAAAATACATAACAGATATTATTATACAGTAAATCGATGCTTTTCTGCAAAACTTATTTAAGTCAATAATTTAATACTCTCGTAGTTTCCAATTTTAGAATTACAATGTGCTTTCATCTTGGATTTTGAATTAATTATGGCTTATATTTTAATAAATCAATATCAAAAATATTATATTACAGATTTTTTGCAGAAAATCGGGGATAATATGTATTATAATAAAATAAAATCAATAATTATTTCCCTAGTTTTAATTTGGAGTATACATACACCGGTGTTGAAGTAAACACCGGTGTTGAGGTAAACACCGGTGTCAAAATAAACACCGGTGTTGTAGATGAACACCGGTGTCGAGATAAACACCGGTGTTGAGGTAAACACCGGTGTCAAAATAAACACCGGTGTTGTAGATGAACACCGGTGTCGAAATAAACACCAGTGCTGAAATGAACACCGGTGTTGAGATAAACACCGGAGTTGAGATAAACACCGGTGTTGAGGTAAACACCGGTATTGAGGTAAACACCGGTGTCAAAATAAACACCGGTGTTGTAGATGAACACCGGTGTCGAGATAAACACCGGTGCTGAAATGAACACCGGTGTTGAGATAAACACCGGTGTCGAGATAATAGAAAACAAATATAAAACAAAACAAAACATAAAAAAACAAAAATTCGTAGCTGTGAAATAAACTAAAAAATATTACATTAAAAAAAATAAAAAAATAAAACAAACAAACGGCACCGGTGTTGATTTCGACACCGGTGTTCATCGCGATACCGGTGTTGAGATAAACTGGATAAACTCCGGTGTCGAGATAAACACCGGTGTCAAAATAAACACCGGTGTTGTAGATGAACATCGGTGTCGAGATAAACACCAGTGCTGAAATGAACACCGTTGTTGAGATAAACACCGGTGTTGAGATAAACACCGGTGTTGTAGATGAAAACCGGTGTCGAGATAAACACCAGTGCTGAAATGAACACCGGTGTTGAGATAAACACCGGAGTTGAGATAAACACCGGTGTTGAGATAAACACCGGTGTTGAGATAAACACCAGTGTTGAGGTAAACACCGGTATTGAGGTAAACACCGGTGTCAAAATAAACACCGGTGTTGTAGATGAACACCGGTGTCGAGATAAACACCGGTGCTGAAATGAACACCGGTGTTGAGATAAACACCGGTGTCGAGATAAACACCGGTGTTGAGGTAAACACCGGTGTTAAGGTAAACACCGGTGTCAAAATAAACACCGGTGTTGTAGATGAACACCGGTGTCGAGATAAACACCGGTGTCGAGATAAACACCGGTGCTGAAATGAACACCGGTGTTGAGATAAACACCGGTGTCGAGATAAACACCGGTGTTGAGGTAAACACCGGTGTCAAAATAAACACCGGTGTTGTAGATGAACACCGGTGTCGAGATAAACACCAGTTCTGAAATGAACACCGGTGTTGAGATAAACACCGGTGTCGATGTTGACACCGGTACACCGACTGGTCATCGGACACCGGTGGTCATCAACACCCAACACCGGTGTTCAAATCTCAACACTGAACAGGTCTAAATATAAGGATAACATTGGGCTAAACGTTGGCAACGTTGACAGACATCTGATGAGCGGCTAAAGGCGGAATTACATTACTATCACGTCACGTGAATTCACGTGAACACACATGAGCAGTAAATTTGATGAGACCCATGTTTTGCATTTATTTTATTAATCAACACATCAAGGGTGAACACATTATTGTCACTTGGGGGATTCATGTAAAATCACGTGATATTGCGAGTTGTTTCGCGCTCAAATATTCTGTTTTAACATCAATTTCGTGAGGCGTGAAAACGTGAGGGTTGGAAAATGGAAGAAATTCTAATAGAAAAAGTGCGTTTACACGAGGTGCTTTACAATAACCGATCAACAAATTACTTTCTTTTCAAATTAATGTCATGAACTCATTGCCTAGTTTTAATATTATCAGCAACCACAAGTAAACCACATGCGTTTTCTAAATCTTCTTCAAACTCAGAAGATGAAGATGAAGAACTATTTATTTGATTGTTGTTTATTATTGTTTATTTGAAGTTGTTAAACTTGAGAAGAACGCTGATTTCTCTGAACGAGAAATGGCTTTCGGTTCATAATAAAAATGCGCATAATATGAAAGAACGACGTGATACTAATGTGTTTCCTTTAAACCACACGTGAACTCACTTTTACTGTGATAGCATGTGAACTCACGTGACGTGACAGTAATGTAATTCCGCTTTAATTCACAAGATGCATTCCATTTCCTATTGGTCGAGATATTTTGAGGTTAGGGATAGGGCATTGTTTATTGTTTTTAGTTATTTGGCGGGTTGGTTAGCATGGTTATTTGGAGGGTGTTAATTCATTAGTTATGAAGTATTATACACATATATTACATTATTAGTATTTTCAGATAGACGTGAATTTAAGGTAATAGTCAGTTAATTTCAAATTCAAACACAAACTATAAAATAAATACCGAAATCGAAAATAAATAACAACCCTATTATAACCCTAACCTCAAAATATCTCGACCAATAGGAACTGGAATGCATGGAATGCATCTTGTGAATTAGCCGCTCGTGATATCTGGCGTAAATTTGCTATGAGCAAATGCTTCTTTACCAACGTAAGTTTGTCTTGTAATGACTAAGAAACAACTGAGACAAAACAAAGCACCGCTGTGCTCGTTCAATATGAACAACTCTACCTAACCTAACCTAACTTCCAAAAAATGATATACAAGTTTATACGCGAGTAATAAAAATATAATGGTATGTACTTTCATACTTACGAATGTTCACAGGGAATCAATCTTACAGTTGCTCTTTGATCATAGCATAAAGTGCAACTATCTTCATGAATATTTTGTTGCCTTAACTGATTTAGATAAATGTGTCTTGGCAAAACAATTTTTTCCTCTTGTTTTAAAGTTCCACTGGCATTAAATGTATTATATGACACATGAGGTGGATACTTAAAAGGTTCCGATCCAAAATTAAAACGACATTGTTGAAATGACATGAAAGAAGCGGCTGCAAAAAATCCAGATCTGCAAAAACATCATTATAAAAATATCAAAGTATAATATTGCGTACAGATATACTAATAAACTATATTATATATATATATATATATATATATATATATATATATATATATATATATATATATATATATATATATATATATATATATATAACCATATATATTAAAAACTATAGAGGCATATGTAATCAGTCGGCAATTCCAAAACTTCTAGATAAGCTAGTCTACGAAGATTTGCTATGGCAATGTAAGGGCATATTAACAGACTGCCAGCATGGATTTTCCCATGGTAAGTCGACTGTTACAAACTTGGTCTCATATCAGACGGCTCTGTTACACGCCTTAGAGAATGGAAACCAGGTGGACGCAGTCTATACGGATTTCTCTAAGGCGTTTGACAGAGTCAATCATGTTGTCCTTCTAGAGAAGCTGAGGGCTGTTGGCTTTTGTGATGATTTGGTTGGTTGGTTCCATAGCTACCTGACCGAAAGAAGTCAGGTAGTTAAGATTAATAACTTTACTTCTAGAGAAATCTCAGTGACGTCTGGTGTTCCACAGGGCGCCCATTGTCCCCCTTTACTGTTTAACCTATTTATCAATGATATTGTGTCGAGTGTTAGTAATTCCTCCTGCTTGTTGTTTGCCGACGATATGAAAATTTATAGGGCTGTTTCTAGTGTTGATGATTGCCAACTTTTACAGAGAGATTTAGATAGAATGGGTGACTGGTGTAAGGTGAACGGCCTTTCCCTAAACGCTAGTAAATGTTCAGTTATAAGTTTTTCCAAAAAAAGATCACCAGGGATTCTCTTTGATTATGATTTGATGTTCATTTGACACGGGTGGATTTGGTCAGGGACTTGGGTATAAGCTTTGATTGTTCTCTTTCTTTTAATGAACACATTAATATAATTGCAAATCAAGCTTTAAAAACACTGGGTTTTGTATTGAGAAACTGTAAAGACTTGTCGGTATGGGCTTTGCAGATAGCATATTGCTCATTGGTGAGATCAATTTTAGAATATGCATCTGTTATATGGAATCCTCAATACAATGTATCTAAGAAAACAATAGAAAGGGTTCAAAAGAAGTTTGTAAGGTATTGCGCTTTCAGACACAATCAAGAATATAGTTACATTATCAACTTAGACCAATTAAATTTAGAGACTCTGGACAAAAGGACATTAATCTATGATCTTTCTTTTTTTATAAGATTGTTAATGACGTATATGACTGTCCTGAGATACTTAGACAAATTTATTTCAAAGTTCCATTTAGGCCATTGAGAATTAATGATTTGTTCTTTATTCCTTTGCATGGTACTAATTATGGAAAGCATTCTCCAATTCCAAGGGTACTTAATTCTCTGAACAGGTTTCATGATGTTGACATTTTTAATGACTCTTACTGGGCATTTAGGAGGAAGAATAGAAATGGGAGTGGTGATTGATGGGTGTGTTAATTCTTCTTTTTACTGTACAGTTCTTCTCTTATAAGTGTTTATTGTTGTTGTTTTTTGTATTATTTTTTAATGTTTTTAAGTATCTTTATATCATACTCAGGCAACTAGTTGAAAAATCCTTAGAATATAACTCTCCAGCCTATCTATGTTTTATAGATTTAACAAAGGCCTTTGATAGAGTCCAACTAAAAGACATCATCACCATCTTGTAAAGCAGTAATGTCTCGAAAGAACTCACAGAACTTATCAAGGACTTAAACACAAACACGACAACCCAAATAAGAACAAACTTTACCTTAACGCAGCATCTTCGAACTACAACTGGTATTCGCCAAGGCGAGAGTTCAAAAATTTGCCTCAGCCCTCTGTTATTCAACACAATCATGGATCAAGTAATAAAAACCGTCAAGAATACTGGACTAGGATATCGAATTGGAATGCATAAAGTTAACATATTATGCTATGCCGATGACGCAGTACTTATTGCAGAGTCAGAGGACGACCTCCAAAGAATGCTACAAGCTTTTAACAGACAGGCAGAAAAACTTAACATGCAAATTTCCACAAATAAGACCAAATGCATGACCATTACAAAGGAGCCTATTCTACGGTGCAAATTGGTAATAAAAAACAAAACTATTGATCAGATAATGTAATTCGAATACCTCGGATGCAAAATTACAAGCTCAGGATTCCTGGAAGAAGAAGTAAGGAAACAAGCCAATAAAGCTGCCGCAATATCAGGACATCTTAAATTCCATCTAGATTGGAAAAACAAACATTTGAGTACAGAATGTAAGTCAAGAATATACAAAACCTGCATACGATCAGTGATGACATATGGTGCGGAAACCAGAGCTGAAACATCAGTAATAAAAAGAATCCTACGAACTACTGCAATGAAGACCTTAAGAATGATAACTGGATACACATTGAGGGACAGACAGAGAAATGTAGACATAAGAGAAAAGTGCCAAACAAACGACGTTGTCAGATGGATAGGCAGAGAAGAAGAGAATGGAACCAGCATGTCAATAGAATGGGCCCCGACAGAATGGCCATAATAATTCGCAACAACGTGCCCCATGGCAGAAGACCTACTGGACGACCACCTAAACGTTGGCAAGACAGTTGGCAGTCAACCTCGCAAGAGTTGCTCAGACGAGGAGGAAACCGGAAATAAACAGGCGATACGCCTTCTAAAAGAAGAAGAAGAAGAAGAAGAAGTATATTTATACGACGTGAAAGAAAAAGAAAAGACATTTTTTTCTTTTTTTTTTAATATTGTTTTGTAAATTTTGTAATGTAATGGGGTTTCCCGTAAATAAATAAATAAATAATTCAACTTACTTTGCCATACTAAACACATGGACACTCGGTGCTAAACTTATTCCATTAATAGAAAAAACTATTTGTTGATTGTCTAAGTCTAATAAGCAACCTAATATATCTCCAGGTTGCCATCTTGGTAGTATTTGTGGATCTGATTTAGCATTATACCAAATTAGTCTTCTACATCCATCGTATGATAAAGAATACCTATCATCTCCTATACCATATCCTTCCTAAAATTAAAAAAAAATGTGTAATTGAAGAAACAATACTAGTCATAAATCTCACATGATTTAGAAAGTTGCTATTTTTTGTAGCCCATCCAATTTGCATAACCCCAGGAGTGATAATCAAAACTTCATAGTACCACACGCCAGAATCAGCCTGTGCTGTACACCTGACACTTTCAAAACTGTATGCATCACATCTTGCTTCCAAGCCATCTGGCGATATTTTGAGATATTCACTGACATCACTTGTATTTAACATTGCTCTTATATGATCCATTTTAACTAAGAGGTACGAATATGGCCTATTTTCTGTAATAACTACAATAACAGTTTAAGTACCATACGATGGGGGAAAAACGGCGTCAGAGATGGGTTGGGAATAAAAATCTTGTCATTTTGTATGTAAAATTATATGGAGAATGTTATAGATCGTCATTTTTAAGCCAACTGGACCCCGTTTTTTTCGATCAATTAATCATACAATTAAAATTAATTAAATAGGTATGAATGACATAGAGTCATTCATACTTAACCTAATAAATTCAATCATAATACGAGCCCTAACAACTATATGTTGGGACAAGGTCTTTTTTTTGCAATAAAAATAGTAATTTATTAAAACGACTCAATTTATTTTGTTTATTATTCTAAATTCAAACATTACAATATGATCTAGACAATTTTACTATATTTTTATAACTTTGCAAACAAATCACTTTTGATAATAGCTTATTTTGACAAAATCAAGCCAAATTTGCTGACAACTATATATTGGGACAGCACAACAAGAAATTTGTTTAATACGGAGTTACATCACCTTTCGCCTTAACAACTGCCTAAACTCTTAATGGCATTGTATTTACCAAAGATTGGCACATTTGAGGAGAAAAATTATCCCAAATTTCCTGCAGTTTTGCCTGCAAATCAAAAATTGTTCGTTGAAGTGGTTTCTTAAATATTGCTTCATTTTATACCACACAGTTTCTATAACATTGAGGTCCGGACTACTTGAAGGATGGAATAGAACTTTTATATTATTATTACCGAACCAATTTTTTGTTGATTTTGCTGAATGGCACGATGCTCCATCTTGTTGGAAAATATAGTCTTCGTTTGGAAACAATTCTTGAGCACTAGGCAAAAGTGAGGTCTCAAGTATATGTTGATATTTTTGGGCGGTAACAGTGCCATCTATAAAATTTAATTTGCCCAAACCTCTCGCTGACATGCAACCCCAAACCATAATCCCCTTAGGAAATTTAACAACCCTCTTTAAGCAATCTTTATGAAAGGCTTCTGCTTTATTTCGTATTACTCGTTTTCGATGATCTCCAACGCAAACATCAAATTTAGACTCATCGCTAAATATGACCTTATTCCAATCATTTTGTGTCCACGATAATTTAGATTTTGTCCAATTGTAGCGATTTTTCTTTTGAATTTCTGTCAGTAGCGGTTTTTCTTTGGCCTAAATAAGAATTTGTATCAATAATCTTCAGGTAATTGATTATCCACACAAAATAAGGTTTACCTTGTAAAACCCCAGACAACATTTATGGATATATTTTCGGCAACATTCTCTTGATATATTTAAACCAGCTACAGTATTCCATTTAACTGTCACTTCGCGAAAAGTACTTCTTCCCGCAGACTTGCAAATTTTTACTAAATTTCGTAAATCTCTCTAGGATACAACTTTTGGCCTTCCCGAACTTTTATCTCTAACGTCTACATTGGCAGATTCACCGTATTTTTTTTATTATATTAAAGACCGTGGTTTTTGGAATACTTAAATCATCAGAAATTTTTCGAATTGTTTTTCCCGTACTGTATTGACGAATGATAATTTCGCGTAGTTTTTGATTTGTAGCTTTTTCACGGACCATTACTTTAAATCAAATAATTAACAAAATTGAAAATTAAAAAAATTAAAATTTCTTACAGTAAATCTCATTACTCAAACTATCAAGTCACTTACAAGCTGTCAATGCTGAAGTAAACAGTTTGCGACATTTGTGACGTTTATAGCAAAGTCGCCTATGATGATATTAATTATTTAAAAATACTTGTCCCAACATTTAGTTGTCAGCAAATTTGTCCTTTTATGAACAAAATCCGCTACTGTAAATACGGATTGATTCACAAATTCATAAAAATATTGTCAAGTTGTTTAGGATATATGGCTGTATTATATATATATATATATATATAAATATAAACATATATATATATATATATATATATATATATATATATATATATATGTTTATATTTAAAAAATTAAACACATATTTTTCAGTCATTGTGAAAAACCAGGGCAATAATTGAATAATATGACCTTGTCCCAACATATAGTTGTTAGGGCTCGTATGCATAAGAAGAAAAGTAAAACAAATCTGAAATTAATAAATAGAATAGAAAAATAAATAGTGTATGGATCAATGCGTTTTAACAAATATAAAAAATTATATCCAATAGAAAATAAACGAACAAAAATGCGAATGGGGCTAATGATGGACCAAGAAAACTGTAGGCGAGGTGGGTGAAAGAAGTCGCTCATCGCTGAGTTGCCGAACGCTTGAGGGCACAGACGTCATTGGCGGTTGTGTCTCACAAACTATTGTCAAGATCAAGGTGTATTACTGGTTGCATAACTGCATTACTGCTACATAACCGTAACGTGCATTGAGGAACCTGGCGAATTCGCCAGAAAGTAAAAGAGAATTACAGAATTCTTTAGAAAATTCCAGAAACCATCGCCAGGGGGTATATAAGGCCCGCGCAAATACGTTTAAAATAAATTTATTTAAACGTATTTGGGCCCGCGCTTTGACAGTTGGAGCAGTCTGAAGATAGTCTGAAGTCCCATAAAGGGATTGTCGCATCCAAATGCCATGCCGTTCATCATTAAGAGAACATCGGCATATCGGAAGATCCCAGGACATAAGTTGCTATAGATGTGGCAGGAATGGCCACATCAAACGGGATTGCCGCGTTGAAATGCGATTCCGTTTACCCTTCAGAGAACATAGGCACCAGGAAATTAATACCAACGGGCGAGTATTGGCTGAAGAAAACAGAGACCCTAGGATGTTTTCCATTAGGAGTCTAGGAAAAACCGCTGACAGTTTTGTGATTAACGGGAAGGCCAATGGTAGAAGAATTCGAATGACTGTGGATACAGGCGCTATGGTATCGTTGGTGCGGACTAACTCAGTGCAAGGATTGAAGATGATGCCTCTAAGAAAAAGAGTGTATTTACGTACAGTTACGGGGGAAATGGCCGTTGTACGGGGAGAAGCTTTCATGGAACTGGAGTTAGGGAATTTGAAGTTTCGGCATAGCGTTTTAGTGGCAGACATTGAAGATGATTTTATCATGGGTATGGATGTGATCAGTCAACATGGTTTTTCGTTCGATCACCATAGAAACATCCTGAAAATCGGAATGAGGAATTTTCTGTATCTAAAGAGAAGAGACCAGGAAATATGGAAGCAAGATCAGCGGAAATTGCGATGATACCTGGTGATGCCAAGAAGACTGTGTTCGGGAAAATAGAGAAAACCTCTGGGTGCCGTGTAGGACGGATACAAATTATCGGCAACGAGCCAGATCGACGACGGGCTAACCTGGACAAGAAAATGCAACATCGCGAAAGCACTATCAGAGTAAAGAATTTTAAACTGAGAACTGACGAACAATGGACGACGATACAATTGAGGAAAGATCAAATGGAAGATCCAGACATTGGAGCAATACTACGGCTCAAGGAAGGTAACGGCGAGAGACCACCGTGGCAGGATATTGCGGATAGAGGGCTCGTTTTTAAAGTTCTCTGGGCTCAGTGGAATTCACTGGTTATTGAGAATGGATTGTTAAAGCGTACGTGGGAAAGTGCGGATGGCAGGACAGTAACAACTCAGTTACTGGTACCAAGGAAGAAAGTTACCCAGGTATTGGAAGAAATTCATGGTGGTAAAACTGGAGCCCATCTTGGGGTAAACAAGACCCTGAGCAAGCTGAGAGACCGTTTTTACTGGGTGGATTATTGCGAAGATGTCAAGAAATGGTGTCAACGTTGTAAGATTTGCGCAGCTAGACAAGGACCAAATACTCGATCTGGGGAAGAAAGGGAACAGGATAGCGTTGGACTGTCGTTCGAAAGAATCGCTAGGAAGGAAAGATTATTGGACATTCATAAGGCCGCTAGAAGTAAGATTGCGCTAGCCAGTGACCGGATGAAAGCTCGTTACGACCTCAGAGCTAATTCTACGGGATTTCAACAGCACGATAGGGTATGGTTGTATAACCCACAGCGCAAGAAAGGAAGGTCCCCAAAGTTAACTCCAGCATGGGAAGGTCCTTATACAGTCATCAAGAGGATAAATGATGTTGTGTACCGGATTCAGCGCAGCCCTAGAAGTAAGATGAAAGTAGTTCATCTCGATCGATTGAAGAGATACCAGACAGGGAAACCTTGATCGGACGATCAAATTTGAGAAGGGGCAATGTCAAGATGAAGGTGTATTACTGGTTGCATAACTGCATTACTGCTACATAACCGTAACGTGCATTGAGGAACCTGGCGAATTCGCCAGAAAGTAAAAGAGAATTACAGAATTCTTTAGAAAATTCCAGAAACCATCGCCAGGGGGTATATAAGGCCCGCGCTTTGACAGTTGGAGCAGTCTGAAGATAGTCTTAAGTCTGAAGTTTGATAATACCGCGAAATACCGTTAGAGTAATAGTAGTTGCATAAATTGTGTTGTAAATAGTATAAGTTGTGTGTACAGAGTGAGACAAATAAATTCGTTAAGTATTTTATCGTGAGTAAATAGTGGACCCACGGAATCCGTAACACTATTATACCAGCTAGTTATTATATAAATTAATGTATTGGCACTATTATTAAAATCTAGTATATTAAAACATTGTGCAGGCTGGCGCACCTCATTCGCCTCGGTTGATTATACAAAAACAGTAAGATGTAGAAACAAAATATTTTATGGGTATATGTGGAAGGCAATGTGCATAATTTAAAATTATTTTGTAAATGTACAGGGTGTGTCAGAACCAAGATCCATACCAAAGTTATATTTTTTCTTATGGAACACACACCCGGTATTTTATTTCATTTTCGGATTCTTGGACATAAAATAAGACATTTATTACAAGGGTTTAATATGTTAAAAAGCTTTGGTTTTAAGATATTTAAATATGCATGCTATAATAACAAAGTTTATCACCACCTTGTATACATTACTTTACAGAATTAATTCTTGTGCTGTCTTTCAAGCCAGAGAAATAAACTTTACTAAAAAATTTGATTGCTTGTATACATGAGTATCAAAAATTGCTGGTCTATTTTAACTATTTATTTTACATAAAAACTTCGTTATTTCAAATGCAACACTGCATTTTTTTAAATAAGTCGAAGCAGATTTAAATGTTTTTTCAAACTATATTCTATCTGGCTCAGATTTTGAATAAAAAGAGATTTTTCAATAAAATTGTAATCAAGATGGCTGGTGTCGCCATGGCAATTTTCTAGTGACACTTAGTAGCCATTTTCAAAATCGACATTAGTTTATGGACTTTATTTAAATTTATAACAGGTTATTTTTATTTAATTTACCTACAATAAGTAAGTATAGTCTGTGAAACGAATAACTTTGAATTTGACAGTTCCCGCGGGCTTTTCTAGTGTTAATTTTATTAAGTTAGCAACTTGCGGCCATGCTGACGCAATGCCGTCTCTAATAGAACAGCCTCGGAGCGAGATTTATGACGTCACGCTAGTTAGAAACTACGGATTAATAAATATGTCGTAGAATACATGGAAAACATAATTGAAATCCAAACCAAACCTAAATAGAATTATTCTCTAAAATAATTAGGGAAGCCAATAACTGACCCCATTAAAATTTACAGGGGATTTCCTATGTCCCGTCCGACGATGCAACACCCGGTATAGGTACTCTTAATATTTTTAGCAGTAATTACAAATATTTAATACTTACAAATATTATCTAATATCCACTGAGCACAAAACCCAACTTGTCTTTTTACATAATGACTTTCATGTCTCCATTTTTCTAAAGTAAGAATCGAAGAAAGATGTTTTTTCTTTAGTTTATTCAAAATTGTCACTTTATTTTGATTAGATTGTGCAAATTTTTCTAATGCTATCAAAGAAAATAAAATCACATTAGGATTGCATTCTGGTTCCTAAAATTATATGAGAATTAGTTTAAATGTAGTTATGGATGTTATTCTTATTACTAAATTTGTTAAAAGATATTCTATGACATTGTCATTTAAAATTTCCATATTCCTGGGACCTGCAAGTTTCTCTGCTATGCTGCCTAAAGCGACACATGTATTTCTCTGCTGGGTAGGATTGTTCCTTTCATTTAACGCAGTCTCTCTGGATAAAGAAAACATTGTAACCACCTATAAATATAAACATTGACAAATATATGGTCGTTAATGCTTTAGCTTATTACTTTAATAATTGATTCTTTTGATGGTAAAGGACAATCATCTAACAGCAATGTTATAACAGATGGTCCAAGAGGATCTGACAAGGGTATGACTTTTATCATTGAATTTACAACTTGTATCCATCCTTCTTCATTGTCTGCAATATTATGAAGGTGTAGCATTGAAGATGGAGGTTCTTGCTCACTGTAATTTTTATGTAATAAGTCTTTAAGGTAAGCTACAAAACTGGTTTTAAAATTTACTTATCCACAAGAGTTTCTATGACTCCAAGGGTTTCTAGTACTAAACGATCAACTACGGCAGGATCAAGCGTCTTAGTTACGGACGCACGATTAAAAAAAATCTGAGAAGTAGGTGAAGGGGGTGGAAGCACTATATTCACATCTTGATGAGTCGTTACTTGTGGAACATAACATTCTTGATCCTCGTTTTTCTTTTTGCACCAACACATACCCATTCCGTCTTATTAGTGCTAAGTACTAACTACATGCTTTTTAGAATAAAAATACCCTTTTTACGTTGGAGTAATTTTTATCAGTAGGAACATATCACATTTGCTTTTAAAGGTCTGATGACTAGTTTTTACTTTAGACATTAGGATTATAATTTTTCACAAATTTAAACTAGAAATACTTAATCATGTCTTATAATTATTTTGTTATATTTAAAATTTAGCAACATTTACAACCTACTTGGGTTAGAAAATATCATCACAGCCCCATAGAGCAATGAAAATTCTATTTTGTCATTTTAAATTTTATAAAGTTTAAAAACGTCAAAATCAAGGTCATTCTGTCAGACCCTGAGTCAAACCGGTCAAACCCTTAGGTCAAACCCGTCAGACCCAAGAATTTTGCTACATTTTTTATATGTACGTCATGGAGGTAACCTAAGGGGGTAACATCTAACATCCTTACTGGGTGACTCTGGTGAGCTGTTATGACTTATGACCAGGTAATTACCTATGACCAGGGTTCGGAAGTAGTTAATTAAGACGTAATTTACCTAATTAACTACGTGTAGCTTTTCTTCAAAAACTACGTCTTTTCCCGTTCATTAACTACATGAAAACTACGTTAATAAACTATGTATTGATATTATGAATAATTTTGCTTTGTATGAGGGGTCTAAAATAATATGATGTGTGAATATTATATTTAAAGCCATATTTCTTCTGTTTTCTTAAATACATTGTGTTTTCTAAAGCTTCAATTTATTATAACCTTACCTCAAACCTTTGATATTTGAAAGTTACATACATAGGTTACATAAACTACACCCCCTACATAAACTACATTAACTACATGTAATGTAGTTTATGTAGTTTTTAAAAGTAACATGTAGTTTTCCGAACCCTGCCTATGACCATGTTATGACCAACCATAGAAAAAGTAATTGAGGTAATTATTATCTTTCCCAATGTGACCAACGCAATGAATTAAAATTGAAACGACTTTACGTCATCTGACGTTGACGCAGGTCCATAACGCAGGTTGACGTGTCTTTTTATTGCTTTTTAACCTTTTTAACTTTGTTCGAAAATTTAACCTCGATGTTTGTATTTGCAATATTTACCTCGTTTTTCTAAATATGACTTATTTAAAATCATGGGAAGAATTTGAAAAAGCTGCTGAAAAATTATATCTCCAGGAGCCATCTAAAATCCGATATAGTATGAAGTATGTTCATTCAAGAAATCAGTTAATTTTGAAAATGACCGATAATTCTGTGGTATGAGAACATCAATAATATTAGAGAAGAGAGTTTTATAAATATAGTATTCCTGCTGTTTTAGTGTCTACAGTTCAAAACAGAAGTAGCACCAGATTTAAGAAAAATAGACAAATTTATTAACAACTTGGTGCGACAGATGGTCTCAAAGGAATCATAATTTAAAATAAATTATATTAAGTTTTGAGAATGTTTACTCACTCTCGTTATTTAAATTTATTACATATAAATATTGAAAATCAAAATACGATTGAATTAAATCTTATATACCCAATAATTCTATTTTAATTTTAAGATATCGAATAGATAGACCCTCCTAAATTATCTATAACTATCAGAGGAGAAAATATATAGTCTGTCCAAAGAGTCAGGGAAGATTTCAACAGACAAGCTCCACTGTCATGGATCCTCCTCGGGACCCTCTCTTTAGACAGTCTATATCTAAATTCCCTAAGCAGGAGAATGCTGCTGGAGAATTCCTTAAGCAAAGAGCTGCTTGAGCGTGTGCTCATTAATGTTAACTGTATATTTTAATTTAAATTTGTTAAAAATAACAGTTTATATTATTTTGTTAATTATATGTGACTTATTAAATGAATTTTTCTACGTGAAGAATTTGAGACTTGTACTGAAATGAATGTTATAGGATCCATTTGTTTAAAATTATTATTTATTATTATTATCATTAATGAAACTACTTCGTAGATATAAGTGCATTAGTTTTTTATTTGAATCACCACAAATAATTCCAATTATTGTTCCTTAAAGGAAAAAAGTCTCTTATGTGCTTTCACTATTAAATAAAATAAAAATAAAATAATATATATTACGTGCAGTGCGTGCACGCACATAGGCGCAAAATCGAAGTGTCAATCAGTACTTGGTAACAAAAAACCGATACGCTTTCTTGTTAATAAACAAATACTTACATACATCATAGGATAAAGTTTGTTTAGCGTCTTTTTTGCGTTGGCCGCACCGAATAAACAAGTCTAGGGCAATCTGCCGGCAACACATTGATCTCATCTATTTATTTTTCATTTTATGGAAAGCACTGTTCATTAAAATGTTGTATCCTATGTTATAGGGCTTGTTTCTCTCTACAATTTTCTGTCTCACAATATACCGTTTGTGTCGGGGAAGGGATCATAGTTTCATAGTTGTCGATTTTCGACAGAAATCAGTGCATGTATATTATTTCGTATATTTTTCATTTTATTGATTTTTTGGAAAGCACTGTTCATTAAAATGTTCTATCCTATGTTATAGGGCTTGTTTCGCTCTACAATTTCCTGTCTCACAATTTACCGTTTGTGTCGGGGAAGGGATCATAGTTTCATAGTTGTCGATTTTCGAAATAAATCAGTACATGTATATTGTTTCGTATATTTTTCATTTTATTGATTTTATGGAAAGCACTGTTCATTAAAATGTTGTATCCTATGTTATAGGGCTTGTTTCTCTCTACAATTTCCTGTCTCACAATATACCGTTTGTGTCGGGGAAGGGATCATAGTTTCATAGTTGTCGATTTTCGACAGAAATCGGTTTCGTATATTTTTCATTTTATTGATTTTATGGAAAGCACTGTTCATTAAAATGTTCTATCCTATGTTATAGGGCTTCTGTCTCACAATATACCGTTTGTGTCGGGGAAGGGATCATAGTTTCATAGTTGTCTATTTTCGAAAGAAATCAGTACATGTATATTATTTCGTAAATTTTTCATTTTATTGATTTTATGGAAAGCACTGTTCATTAAAATGTTGTATCCTATGTTATAGGGCTTGTTTCTCTCTACAATTTCCTGTCTCACAATGTACCGTTTGTGTCGGGGAAGGGATCATAGTTTCATAGTTGTCGATTTTCGACAGAAATCAGTGCATGTATATTATTTCGTATATTTTTCATTTTATTGATTTTTTGGAAAGCACTGTTCATTAAAATGTTCTATCCTATGTTATAGGGCTTGTTTCTCTCTACAATTTCCTGTCTCACAATTTACCGTTTGTGTCGGGGAAGGAATCATATAGTTTCATAGTTGTCGATTTTCGAAATAAATCAGTACATGTATATTATTTCGTATATTTTTCATTTTATTGATTTTATGGAAAGCACTGTTCATTAAAATGTTGTATCCTATGTTATAGGGCTTGTTTCTCTCTACAATTTCCTGTCTCACAATATACCGTTTGTGTCGGGGAAGGGATCATAGTTTCATAGTTGTCGATTTTCGACAGAAATCGGTTTCGTATATTTTTCATTTTATTGATTTTATGGAAAGCACTGTTCATTAAAATGTTCTATCCTATGTTATAGGGCTTCTTTCTCACAATATACCGTTTGTGTCGGGGAAGGGATCATAGTTTCATAGTTGTCGATTTTCGACAGAAATCAGTGCATGTATATTATTTCGTATATTTTTCATTTTATTGATTTTATGGAAAGCACTGTTCATTAAAATGTTCTATCCTATGTTATAGGGCTTGTTTCTCTCTACAATTTCCTGTCTCACAATTTACCGTTTGTGTCGGGGAAGGGATCATATAGTTTCATAGTTGTCGATTTTCGAAATAAATCAGTACATGTATATTATTTCGTATATTTTTCATTTTATTGATTTTATGGAAAGCACTGTTCATTAAAATGTTGTATCCTATGTTATAGGGCTTGTTTCTCTCTACAATTTCCTGTCTCACAATGTACCGTTTGTGTCCGGGAAGGGTTCATAGTTTCATAGTTGTCGATTTTCGAAAGAAATCAGTACATGTATATTATTTCCGATTTTAAGTTTATTGTTTTTTATGTATTTCATATAAAATGGGTCAGTTTTTTTTCTTTAGGGTACTATTTTTGTTACTAAATATTTTTGTGGTTTTTTTTTGTTTTCTTTATTTAATAAATGTTTTTATACTTTAATTAGAATAGTTTTTTTACATTTCCAATTATATATTGCTCGTTTGTCGCAGAATATAAATTCTTTAAATTTTTGAGATTAAGATTAAAATATATAATTGATTTAAATATAAAAAGGGCGCACCAAAGAATGCTGCACGTAGGCGCCAAATACTCCAGGAACGGGCCTGACCGTGACGTTTGTCTGAATAGTTGTAGACATTTTGGTTTATCCGTTAGGGAAACTTGTTTTACTAATAAAAAGCCCCGAAGAGCTAGTTTTCGTTTAGATTTTAATCATTGGTATTCCGCCGCAAAGATAAAAATAGTATTTATAGTTCACCTTCTTTAAGGGTTCTGACCTAACTGAAAGTAACTAAATAATTGTCAAACATTTTATTAAACATAAATCATAGCAGCATCATAAAATAATATACAACAGAGTTTCCATAAAACTAAAAGATATATCCTATACAACATAATTTTACCAATAATATACATCATAGTCAACAAAATATATAAATTTGGCTTAGTTTATTTTGTTTTAAAAGGGAGAAATAAACAAGCAATAAAAATATGTACCTATATGGAAAAAATATAGAATAATAAAGCAAAAGAGTACAACTAGTCAAAAAATCAGGTTAAATAATGTTAGATGTTAATATTTCAAAAATTATATATGTATTAAATAAAAACCTTTTGCTCCATTTTCTGTTTTTAAGAATGTTTTAACAATGTTAGTATATAAGCACTATATATTGAACAAATAAAATTAAAACGTTTATTTTTTATATTATACATTTTGCACCGCCATCTAATATGAAAGAGATATCTGGATATTAAAATGCCCAACTGATCTAAAATTATTAACATCACAATTCACAGCTTTAATTTTTGGTTAATGTATATATATTCTATATACAGGGTGTTTCAAAACAAATGCGAAAAACTTCAGGGGGTGATTCCTTGTTCAAAATAAAGGGTAGTTTGCTTCATAAACGTTGGGTCAAAAGTCAACCATTAGGGAGATATTGCGGTACAAAGATGGCGGAAAAATAATGTTTTTATTTTCTATCTTGAAAACGAAAAGAGATAGACTAATACAATTTTATGGAAGCATTACTGTTATGAAAACACACTTTCTGGTAATTTTTTCACTTTTTTATAACGAGCGGAAGGGGTCGAAATAAACTACCCCTATCATTCTTGTTAACGAAATTTAAAGAAAAATCTTATCAAACACATGCAAAAAAATTAATTTGGATAGTTTAGTTTTGTGTCGTATTTTTTTGATAAAACTCCGATTTGAAATTAAAAAATAAAATGTAAAGCATTACATGTCAGGACAAAAAACATTTTCTGATAAAGAATCTAGTGGGCTGCTGTAATTTTTTTAAGAAAAAATCTAGTCGGCCGCTGTTACTTTTTAGGATGTTCCTAATATTATTTTATTTGACATTACTCTACTGCAATACGTTATTATCTAGATGATTATTATTATCGTTATTATCACTAGATTCTTAATCTAAAAATGTTTTTGTCCTGACATGTAATGCTTTACATTTTATTTTTTAATTTCCAATCGGTGAGTTTTATCAAAAAACACAAGAGGTAAAAAGTTTCTAAACAAACTAAACTATCCAAATTAAAGCATTTGCATGTGTTTGATAAGATTTTTCTTTAAATTTCGTTAACAAGAATGATAGGGGTAGTTTATTTCAACCCCTTCCACTCATTTTAAAAAAGTAAAAAAATTACCTGAAAGTGTGTTTTCATAACAGTAATGCTTCCATAAAATTTCATCAGTCTATCTCTTTTCGTTTTCAAGATAAAAAATAAAAACATTATTTTTCCGCCATCTTTGTACCGCAATATCTCCCTAATGGTTGACTTTTGACCCAACGTTTATAAAGCAAACTACCCTTTATTTTGAACAAGGAATCACCCCCTAAAGTTTTTCGCATTTGTTTTGAAACACCCTGTATATTCTACAATCGATATCTACTGTAATACATGATGTTTTAAATTTATCGCAAAAGAACTTGCCAACAACTTAATCGAATCATCGGCTTTAGTTATTATTATTCAAACGGGAGTAAGATACACTTTCCACTAGTTTTTACATTTATGTCAGATATTTGGTTGAAATTTGCCATACAATCAAATGACAAAGATCTCCTTGCTTATTTCCTTGAGAATTATTTGCAAATGTCGATGCATCTCCAATTGTACTATCTTCCATTTCGTCACCTATAATACAGAGAATAATAATATAAAAAGCATATATATAGTACAGGGTGGGTCAAATTCGACGCTTTTAAATGGAAACACCCTTTTCTATAGGAGATAGACAAAAACTAATATCGGTGTCTGGAGCTCAATTTTTGTCAAAAACATGATGGTGAAAACCGCATATCGATATCTGTTAGCGTTTCGGAGTTACGGGGTGTTTTTCAAAAATATGCATTTTTAACAAATCGCTGTAACTTTTTTGCTATGGAAAATTTTGTATTTTTATGAAAACATTTCCGAAGCAGCTTTTTACGTAGAATTTAATGGTTTAAGTTTAATTTTTTTAAAATTAATAATTTAATAATTAGCAGAAAATTTGATTTTTTATATGGGACACACTGTATATTTTTAATTTATTGCAAATAATTTAAAATTACCTTTCCAAAAATATAATACACTTGATACTTTGCTCGATTCCTCTTCGAGATATAGAGTATATAAAAATTCGCCCGCTTTAAATAAGTAGACTTTGAACGACACAGGCTGTAATGCAAAAAAATTCTAGCTGTGAGCATCTATTAAAACAAAAATAATATTTGTCTATGAGAGATGCAGAATTTTATAACAATTTAAAATATATTTAACCAACATCAACACATTTAATACTATATCTAATAACAATAAAAATAAATAGCAAACCAAGACATGAGATTTTGCTACAGGACATATCGACCGTCTTCTGTTATATGATGATTGACAGACGGGGCAGTTTTTAAACATTTCTCGCGGAATTCATTAACTTAGTAGGGGTGAAAGATACCCTCTCATAACTGCTTAGTATTTCTAATTCTTGTCTAGATTATACAGAAGAATAAGGAACCTTTATTCTTCCGCAAATATATCCATAGGATTAGATCCATGGACACTAAGTCAGGCGGCCTCGACGGCCAACGGCTGGGATCTTGGTTAGCTATTCAATTATTCTTGAATTTGGCTGCAAAAATTTGCTGATAACTTCAGCGTTCAAAGGCGGTGCGTCGTCTTACTGAAAAAATATGTGTTCGAGTTCCATTCAGGGCATATCATAATTAGGGGTCCAAAGCCTACTAGTTAAAAGTGGCGAACTTTTAAAAATTCTGTATTTCGAAGGGGATTATAACAAAATATCAAGTGTGCTATATTTTTGGAAAAGTAATTTTAAATTCTTTTTCGTTAATTAAAAATATAGAGGATGTCCCAAATAAAAAATCAATTTTTCTGTTGATAACTCTTAAATTATTAATTTAAAAAAAATTATACTTAAACGATTAAATTCTACGTAAAAAGGTACTTTGGAAATATTTTCATAGAAATAGAAAATTTTCCATAGCAAAAAAGTTACAGCGATTTGTTCAAAATGCACATTTTTGAAAAAAACTCCGTAACTCCGAAACGATAACAGATATTGATGTGCGGTTTTCACCATCATGTTTTTGATGAAAATTGGGCTCCAGACACCGATATTAGTTTTATTCTATTTCCTATAGAAAAAGGTGTTTCCATTTAAAAGCGTCGAATTTGACCCACCCTGTACGATTAAAAAAAACTTAATAATTCCATTAAAATTGGAAAAAATCTAATGTATTTTCCTATAAGAATTGTTTATCAATCATCATACGACGCCCTCTTAAACATGACTTTTGGATCATATCATTCACACTTTGAATAAAATAACACATTCAATTTTTAAATACTTCTTCCGTAAATAAATAAGTACTCAGTATTTACATAACGTACAAATAATTCGTTGTTCGTTGAAACAAGGCTTTAAAATTCTGTTAAAAATGAGAGATAAGAATTATCGGCGATTTTTTATGCTTTAACGAAAAAACTGTTAAAATAAACGCCACGAATGTTTGGGAGCTTTGAATAAGAAGACTAAGGAAGGAGCATATCAAAAATCTTAGGTACACCGCGATGGGCCTCAAATATGGCCGACTTAAATTCCGGTTTATCAGTGTCGTTCTAATTTTATTTAAAAAATGTAAAACTATGATGTAGGGTAGACGTGGGGTAGACTCAATAATTTGTTGTTTTATTTTACGTTGTGAATAAATGTTGGTAGTTATTAAAATTGTTATAAAAATATATAATTCTAATAAAAATAGATAAGTTATAATAAGTATTTATTACCAAAAACATCCGATACGCTACTGAAGCAGGTAAGTCAAATTAACGTATCTAAATTCTTTGACCATAGATAAATGCAACAAGTTTAGATTGGAAAGCCTGTAAAAATTTTAGGTCGCGAAATTATTTTGGGTCGCGACCGTTATACGCGATCTGGCGCTGCTATAGCGGTCGCTAAGAACAACGGCAAACAAAAACAGAAATAATTTTCTCTTGTCAAAGTCAGAATCTTTAAAAATCATAATAATCTTTCAAAATCTAAACCGCTCTCATTAAAGAAATTCCGAAAAGTGTTTATAACGTACATTTTCAAAGTAATTATTGCTATCTTGTGAGTTTAATTCAAGTTTTATTTACTCCAACCGGTGATAATTGTGAAAAAGTGGCATTAAAAACTTAAAAAGCTGTGCTGTGAACTGTGAACTGTGAACTGCAAAAACCATCGTGGATCATGGCATAACGTCGGTTTCCAGTGTTTCATAGGTATTTCATACATGCGTCCTTATATAAAATAAAGTTTTTTGTATGCAACACACTGTATTTTATTTATAAAATTAAACGAAAATAATAATAAATTTGAATAAACAATATTTGGCGATATAATTCCGGAAAAAGCCGAACCTCTCCGAAATTTTCAAAAGTTTTGGGTCGCGACCGTTGCAAGAATAGCGCCAAATAGTGTTTACATTGTCCTTATGGGCACATTCCAATCTAAACTTGTTTCATTTATCTATGTTCTTTGACATCTAATCTTTGACAAGTAATAAATAAAAGCTAAAATGCAAGAAAAATATATAATTTAGTTAATTTAAGTGAATTTCATAAATGATCGGTTTACTACACGTATGTATATTATATAGTCACTTACTAGCGAAAGTTGTTCCATTATTTCACTCAATTGTTGCCGAGATCTACCGCACGCTACACAACCAACTATTTTAGAGTCTTTTTCGATAAATCGCGATAGTGTCACTGTTAATTTAAATTCTGCCACAATTTCCATCTAGATTTACTACCTTTATACAACTATCAGTAGTAGAATAAATAATAAATAACATAAAATAAGCTCCGTAAAGACTGACAAATCCACAAAATTTCAAATCAAATTCAAACGTGTTAAATGAATCGTCAAACAGAACTGTCAAGGATCCCCACCCTAGAGTGCTTTTTCCGCCCACCATGCATGAATACATGGATAGCATTATGCTCCTTCCTTAGTCTTCTTATTCAAAGGTTTTGACAAGATTTTGACAGTTAAAACAAACAAATTACAACAGATTATATATTGATTATTATATAACTTGAAACACCACGGCACTGGAATTAAGTTTTATGTGACCTTGAACAGATTAGTTTACATGGTAGCGACCGATGAATCACTCCCAAACATTCGTGGCGTTTACTATACACCAGATGCTAGCTAACCTAGATGCATCGAAAAAATTCAAAGGACATTATTTGAATTACATTCACATACAGTTCGCCCGCAGTCCAGGCTAGCGATTCTGTAAACATATTTTCTGTCTAGTGACTCATCAATCGTATACAAATAGCATAGGCTAGACAGGAAATTTCTGTCACATGCTGGCACTGTCGATTTGCATATCGTCAGTTAAAATTTCTCCATACACATACAGGCAGTGGCGGATACAGAGAGGGGGCATATGGCCCGGGTCCCCCCTGAAATCTGTAAATTGGTTTAAATATTAGGCTTTTGGATTAAAAATGGCGCCCTAAAAGGCATATTTTGCATTATTTTTTATTTGGCCCCCCCCTAAAATAAATTTATGTATCCGCCCCTGCATACAGGCCGTCGACACCAGGGGGGTGACAGTGAAATAGGAAAATTGGAAAGAGTCATTAGTGTCATTCCTGTCATTCTCCTCACGACAAGTATGGCCGCCTAGACCAGGACAGCGTTGTTTCTGTCTAACTATTGTCTAACTTCACAGTTTAGAATTGACAGATTTCAGAGACAAGTTCAGATTTGTTCTAGAACAAATTTCGACGTCATTTTAATTCTCTCCGTTTAGTTTTGTTTTGTAAATTCAATTTGATATTTCGGCAGAAATTTATAAACATAAAGGTAATAAAGCATATAAAATATATAAAAAAAATGAAAAATCCTGGAGAAAAAGACGTTTCTGCAGTACTAGGTATGTCCCATGTACATTAAATAGGTAGTAAATAAACACTATTTCTGTATTTTTGAGATGCAAGAAAATTTTGTTATGTTTATGATCGGCGATTTTTTTGAAAATGGAAACAATTTACAGCAAGGTAAGATCGTTTTTAACTATAGCCAACATTAGTTATCTCCAGTATGTGCGATTTATTGTCAATAATGCAATAAATCTGACTGATACAATCTGATTGTTATCCGACTAAAAGTCTCTTTTTGCTTCTTTTTGATTTATAAACCAGGTCTCTTTGGGAATAATGGACGCTTTTTTTTAAACAGTATATTTATATTTTATACCTATTGATATTTTTACCTTGTTAATTTTAGTATAAAAAATTTGTTTTTCTGTTTTCAGGTTTTTGTATAAGGCTCCCGTTTTCATGCTCCTGCCCCCGTTTTCTGTTCCTGATGGCTGTGAATACGTGTATTTATTTACAAATTACTGTAAGTCATGCTTATACCTTACTAATTTACGTTAAAATTGCATATAATTAAGTAACTGCTGTAGAAATCATTCAATTCTTTATTTTTTATATTTATTTAGTCACTTTGTCTCATATTTCAAATAAATATGTTTGAATAAAATTTTATTTTGTTTTATTTATGATAAGAGTACTAAATAAATTTAAATTGAAAGAGGGCCCGCCATTGAATAATCGGAAACGGA